AAATAGAATTCAGATTTCTGTCGGCACTTTGCATTAGTTTACTGACAAAATTAATTTGACTTAGAAAAATTAATTAAACATAGAAATTTGAAGCATTTTACAGCCTGATAAGATCTTTTGCTCTAGATTCGTTTTTTGGTATCATTACTTGTTTCAAAAATTTCAGCGATATCATCATAGATATCTACAATTAGAAACCTAATAGCTTCAAGACTTTTTAACCAGCATTCTCATCTGCTGTTATCACATAAAGGTTTGACAATCAAAATTTTCTGTTTCTTTAAAATTTCCGATCGGTAATTCGAAGCAGAAAATCTCTTATTTATAATAGAAATACAGTTGTCTCATATTATGGTCGCTCTTTTATTATGAGATCAAACAAATGTGTGTGGCACTTTTTCCTTGTTGTCGGTGAATTTTAATAGGCCAGAAAATCTCACGGTAAAATTCCCTCATTGAATTTTGAGACTGTGATCAGCATAAAATGAATATGAGTCATTAAGGTAACGTTTTCCTACAATAGGCCTACCGTCTCAAACAAAAATCTCTTATAGTAGATCTGTTAAATTTTTTATAAAACTAATTTTTATTATTCTACATATTATCGATGGCTATGGGGATATTGCATCTTAAAAATAGTTTGCCCAGAAATCTTAGAAAATGATCGAATTTGAATTAAGGTCAGGAAACTTTTTTACTTAAAGGGTTCTATGAAATTATACACTACATTTTAGAATAGACATATTTAAATCTGAGTCTAAACTTATTAACAACTAATATTTCTTGGTGCAAATTTCTATAATATACTATTATAAATTATAATTACAAATATTTGTTAAGTGATTAAGAGATCAGTTTCATGCTGTCTTTTTTGAAAACTTGATTCATTGGCAGTAACTAAATAGCAGGATGAGTGAAGATGTCACAAACCCTAATGGAAAAATCTGTTATACGTCACAATCATTGGCTATAAGAAAACTCTATAGTTTGTCTGCGGCAAGAACTCCCCCCGCCATAATGTCTGAGGCCGTCTGCTGCTACGGAAACAAGAATAGCGCATTTAAGGGAGGGTAGCTTCTCTTTACTTTCGGGCTTACACAATAGAACGGCGAAAAACATTACCTTTCTCCAGCTGCCCAGAGTCAAAACTTGTCCTAAACAGTGACCTAGTTACCATAGCAACAGCCACGTGACCAGACGAATTGCTAGGGGAGTTCTTACTTTAGACAAACTATAGAACTAATTTGTTTATGTGTTATGGATAAGAGTAGAACAAGGAGGATAGTTTATAAAAGAAATTTCCTAAACATGGCAAGAAAGTAAAGAAACAGAAAAAAATTAAAATATAATAACTCACAAAGCTGCCGACATGGATATGAAAAAATCCAGGAAATTTTACGAAATATAAATTTCACGATAACTGTTTGCACTAACATTTTACACATAGGGAATTTTATAATCATCAAAATAGAAAAATTGCAACATTTTCAGTTTAGATTAACATAAAACATACTTGAAATGTTACGTATTATGTTTACTCATAATTTTGAATATTAATAAGCATTTAATTCATCAAAGAGAGTTAAGATTATTTCGTAATTAAAAAAAATAAATAAACTGGGCATTTTAGAACAAAAAAAATTTCGAACTGATTTCTATAAATGAGGTTCGCTTCATTATGTGTTAATAATACTTATTTAAATATTCATTGAATACTTGAATATTAATAACTCATTAAATATTCAAGCGATAATCTGCACAAAAATTCTATTTCAATGGGGATTTTTTAAGGACACTTACTCAATTATAGGGAATTTTCTAAAATTTACAAAAACCAGGAGAATTCTATTTAAACCAGTAGACCAGGAAAAATCCAGTAGTCAACTGGATTCCAGTAGAGTTGGCAGCTATGCAGTCATTTTGGCAGCCCCCCGACAAGGTCTAGACTTTGCACATGAACAATGACACCTATGTGTATAAAGTCAATCCAATTCTATTTTTAAGAAAACATATATACGTTACCGCTAATGCGTACTTTGCCAGCTAATCTTCAGTTTAATTGATATGCGGCTCTATTAAGATGTGCAATTACATTTTCTACACTTTACCAAAGACATGTGCACATTAACTGCTTCCATATCCTTTGAAGTTCAAAAAGTTTCTTTTAATATTTTCTATGATTTTATTCTCATTTAATACAGTAGGGAACCGATTATCCGGAACGATCGGGACCATCGCAATTCCGGATAACTGATTTTTCCGGTTTTCTGAATCGCTACAAAAAACCGTTTTTTTATTGTTAAATCCAACTAAAAAAAATTTTTTTTTGGAAATAATCTTAAAAAGAGGAAAAAACGATGAAGTAATACACTAATGATTATTTCCAAAATGATGGTAAGGTGAACATCTTTCAAAAAAGAAAGAAAAATCCTAAAATCTTATGAGGAAAAAAATTTTTTTTTAAAAAAATGGCGGGAAAATGTATTGAATTTCGTTCCGGTTTTTCCGGTTTTCTGATTTCCGGATAACGGGTTCTGTACTGTAGTATAATTTTTTAACCATTTAATTCTTCGTATTAATAATTCGGTAATAAATAATATTCGGTTGATAAATAATTATGTCAACTAATGTGTTGATTATATTAACTTGATTCTTAAGTTTTATCGAAAAATAAATAAAATTATACTAATTTAAGCATACAGATTTGTTCTAACAAATATTCCACTTTCACAAGTGCCAAGTAGGGAATATGATTACCAAGGTAATTTAAAAAATGAAACAATTTATCATTTTAGCTGATCGTTGTTAATTTGTGTATTAACTAGATCAGGGCTGTCCAACTGCAGGCCCGCGGGCCGCATGCGGCCCTCCAACACATATTGTGCAGCCCACCAACTTCTTATTCAGGCTGATTGGCCTCAGTTTTCCCATTAAAATGTAAGCAAATTGTTTCATAATCCTTCTGTTCCATTGTTTTATAATTAATAATTCAACTATTAATTGTTATTGTATAAGAGGTTATTGTTCAACTTTTTCAAACTGTGGCCCGTGGGCTCTTTGCAGTTGGACAGCCCTGAACTAGATAATCTAAAGAATAACTGATTTCCGCACTTTTGTGGCAACATATTTTTTCCTATGACGAACTATAGTTTTGTATAACCAAAGTATTTATTTTTTGTAATTGGTTTTACACATCAAAATCTTTTTGTATCAATTTGCTACACTGGAAGTTTTGGCTTATAACTACCCAAAGACAGAGTGTTACTCAAATCTGGAGAGAAAAAAATCCCCGTACGTATTAAACACAACATATTAAGAGGAAACAACGATCACTGTGCTTTTGTCTGAGCTATATTAGGCCAACTATACTAGTTTCAATTGCTGAAAAAAACTTAAAGAAATAAGTACAGCAGAAATATCATCCTTAAGATCCATGTACCATAGAATGCATTTTGAATGGTCACCATTTTTTAAAAGACGACGAAAATAAGAAACGAAATTCCCTGCATTTTCTTAGCTTCTAAAGAAAAACTCACAATTCCCTGCTAATTTAGGTGATTCCCTGTATTTTCCCTGTCACTTCCAGGTTTTCTCTGTGGAGAAGCAAACCTTGGTGTAAGAGAGTGTATACAAAGTGAAATAACAAGCTTTCATTTCTCTACATAATTTTTTTTTTTTGTTTTTTTAATTTCATACACTATCAAAAATATATGTACAGAAAAAATTTGTTAAACTTTGGTTAAAGAAAAATTGAAGCACAATATGCAGAACACAAAATTGCACTCAGGTAGTGCTCAATATTTTTTTTATATAAAAAATGTATTTGATATATATATATCAAATTAATGTTGTAGCTTCTAACATCTCATGACACAGAAGAAAAATAAACAGAAATAATTTACTAAGAGTCATTAAATATTTACATTAACACAGATAAGGAGTTTAAATTAAAACTGCTACACATTAACATTTTTAAAATAAAGCTTCAAAAACGCTATGAATTGATGGCTCCATAATTTTATTCATCCATGAAAAATGACAAAAATTTTAAAATGTGAGGAAAACAATTTTTAAAATGCATAAAAAATTTAAAAGGAAATCAAAGGCAACTTTGAATTGATTTCTTTAACAATTTCTTATGAAAGCAAAACGAGAACAGGAATTGATGACATCATAATTTTATCCAGGGTGCGTAGTCAGAATTTTCAACAAAAAACAAGCACCTTTTAAGCACTTAAAAAATATTTTAACTCACTTTTCGAAAGAAAAAAAAAATAATAATAATCAGAATATGTGCAGGAATAAAAATTATTTCTGTCTATTGTTTGAAGTTTATATATATATAAAATCAACAAAATGCAAAAATATTTTCTAACAACTTACATAATCATGATAAAATAATTAGTTTTTGATAAATATTGCAGAGAAAATTGTTAAAATCATGCTTTTTTGTAATTTATGATGACGATCAACATGGCAAAGAAATATCTTATTTTGAACCATAAAAAATTAAGCATTTTTTACAAAAAAAAAAAAGCACTTCCAAGCATTTTTCAAAAACGCTACACACCCTGTTATCCATCAATAAAAGAAGAGAAAGGAAATTTTACAATATGCAAAGAATTTAAGGGAAAAAAATTAACATGAATTTATGTCTCCATAATTTTACTTATCAATCAGGGTGCGTAGCCAAATTTAAAAAAAAAAACCTCTTAAGCATTAAAAAACTACTTTTTAAGCACTTTAATTTTCAAAGACTTTACATAATCATGATAAAAAAATTAGTTTCTGGCAAAGAACTTTTTTTTTAATATTAGCCATCATAAAAACAATTAAGCACCATTTTAAATAAATTCATCATTGAGTGAATCATTCTATTTTTTAAATTAACTATTACTTTACTTAATTATGTAAAAATTTTTAAAAATAGTAAAGAAAAAATCTCATTTTGGAAAAGGAAAAATTAAAGCAATTTTTAAAAAATTTCCAATGAAAAAAAAAAAACACACACCTTTAAGGGCTTTTTAAAAACTCTACGCACCCTTTCAATGTAGGAGAAGAAAGGAAATTTTAAAACATGAGAAGAGACAATTTTAAAAACGCTTAAAAATTTGAAGTGTAATGAAATACAACTATGATTAATTGATGTCCCCATACTTTACCCATCAATGCATCAATGAAAGGTTGAAAAAAAATTTAAAACGTGTAAAGAATGTTAAAAAAATCAAATTCTATCGATTGATGGCACCATCAATAAAACACGAGAAAATAAAATTTGGAACCAGTAAAGACCTGTTTAGGCAAAATTTTATAAATAATTCGATGTATTTAATGAGCCCTATTATGAAAACAGTAATTTTTTTATGTCTAATGGCACAACTACATGACCTCCAAAATTTTGAGCTTTTTCAACAAATTCCGCAAAGCTCGTTTCTCAAGCATTTTGATTACACAATTTTTACACATACCCTTTAAAATAACAAGCAGTGGAATGTTAACATTGGAAAACATGTTTAGAGCCCTGAATGAGGGGAAGGGATCATTTTATTCCAAAATGGAATTTTATCTATTAGCACCATAAGCTAAAAATGTGTAGTACAATATCTATCAAAACATAACAGTTTTAAAGAGGGAGACATTTAACCAACATACATTAAAAAAAAAACATAAGTATTTTAAACAAAAGTTAAACATTACTTTAAACATTAGTCTTCTTGCATTAATATAAGAAATTACTTTAGACATTTCATACAATTCATGCTTCATTTAACTTTTCTTTTACAATTTTTCTAGCGAAGAAATAGGTTCTGGTGTAATAAAAAATTCTTAGTTATATAAATTATATTCTTAGTGAATAAATAGCACACAGGAAAAAAGTAAAAAACTTAACAAAACATCAAATTTATATTTTCTAAATGCTTTAAAAATAATTTTCAATTTATGTTTTGAATTGTTATGCCCAAATACTAAAGGGAAGCTGGAGAAGAAAAAATAAAGAGACAACTAACGTCCCAAACATTGTTCAATGAAAAAAAACTACAACAAAATTACTGCAACGCTTAATTTACAGTTAAGACAGATTTCTATACTACAAAGATAAAGAAGGCCCTTAAAGAAAAAGCATACTAAAGCAAATATTTTTCATACCAGCTTTAAGCATTTATAACATTTACTCGATATTACTTCAAGCTTTTGGGACTCTTAATAATAACAAAAATAAAGTGGAATTTTGTCTCAAACTACATCTAGAAATTTTTTTTAAAAAAAAATGACTAATGTAAAAACATTAGCAAGGTTTATAACAAAGCTTTAATTTGGACAGTGTAACTTCATTCGAATCAAAACTTCCTAAAGGTAACTCAAAACATTTATAATAAAACTTAAATTCGGTTCAAATAAACAATTTTGATTACACTCTATAAAACACAATTCACATAACTACATATTTACAATGTCTTCACAGTAAAGCTGGAATACAACAATTGAAAATAAATTAACAATAACAGTTTCATATTGGAGGCCATTTACAATAAGCTGCATCAAATTTATGAACTAGCTAAATCAGGACAAAATTTTTATCCACATAAAAATGTTCAAATGACTTCTTTTTTTAATGATCTATGTGCGATTACTTAGCTCGATGAAGCAGATTTCAGTGCTCAAATTTTAAAAGCCAATCACCTGCCAGATCATTTTTTTTTACTTTTAAATCTAATTTATGCTTATGTTAATTCCCTAATATATTTTCATTTTTTACATTTGAACATGCTTTTAGTAGCACTATAGTATATGGTAACCTAGCATTTGCACCCAAATAAAATTAAAAAAAACACCTTCAGAATGGAATCCCAAGTGATGCAGCTAAAAAATGTTGATCAATCACTATAAGAGTTCACAAACCATCCCACCAAGCTATTGACTTGAAATAAAATTGGCATAAATGGTTTGGTAATTTTCACAATGGGAAAAAGGTTAAGAATGTCATTTAAGAGCTAGCATTCAGTAACATTAGTCTAGTTTCTTGGCTTTACTTGGAGGCGAGAGGTAAGTACCATAAAAGAAACGGGCAAACAACACAAAGTAGGATGTATACATTAGTATTGCGTAGTTGGCGATATCATCTGGTAGTTGGCAAAACTGTCCCCTTTGCCTGGTGATGTAACCAAAGTAGCTGACAAAACAGCCAGCGACCATCTGAAGAATCTGAGACGAAGTAATGAGGATGGCTACGAAGCGTGGCATCTTGAAGCGCATGGCCCTCATCGCGTAGTAAGTATACATCATGGAGTGAGCAAAGTAATTCATCACAACAAACCATCGAGCAGGGGCAATGTGCTCGGTGTAGCTGTACCAAGTAAAAAGAAGAACAGTGATGTGGTGGTACCAGTGGAGAAATATCAGCTGCTGCTTTCGGAGGACAATGAAGATAGTATCACCCAATTCAGGAACTTTAGACAAAGTGAACATCCAAGTCCAAAATCCACTCACTTTAACTTCTTCGATAAAACTTGGATTGCATACGGAATGGGTGAACCCGAACTCGTTTAGAACGTGGGCGAGTTCTGGCAAAGTCCGGCAGAGACCGAAGATAGAGAAGGCCGCGAGGAAGACATTCCAGGCGGCAAGGGTTCTTCTAAGTTCGAATCTAGATCTTGATTGCATGTATGCTTGGCCACCGAATATGAGAAGCATGTAGATGCCAATGTAGTAAAAAGCTTGATGCCAGTGTGCTATCATCCATTGTCTTTTTAAGCTTTTATCAAAGTTCTCTTCAAAGTTGAAGATTATGGAATAGTTTGGAGAGCTTGGCGATTCACTGATGAGGGATGGCATATCCATGGTTCTGAAAGAGAAAAAAAAAATCTCTTAATAATCTTCTCAGTTTTAAAAAGTTAGTGCGAGCTTATTGTTCTGGAATAAAATAATTGCCACTCAAATCTGGAGGGGAAAAAAATTCCCTGTGTTTTCCCCATATGTATTATACACAATGTATTAAAAAAAAAAGGATTACTGTGCTTTTTAATGAGCTATATTGGGCTATCTGTACTAGTTTTAATTACTGGAAAAACTTAAGAGTAAAAAGGAACAGCTGAACATACTTAAATAATGCTACAGTAAATGAAATAGTTAGTATAGATAAAATATCTTTACTAAATATCTCAGATTGCCCTCTGAGTGGTCACCATTTTTTAAAAGACGAAAATAAACAATATTCCCTGTATTTTCCCAGTTTGTAAAGAAAAACTCAAAATTCCCTGCATTTTCCCTATTAATTTTGGGGATTTTCAAATTCCCTGAATTTTTCCAGGTTTTCCATGTTCTCATTATTGAGTGGCAACCCTGAATAATTTTGGCATATAATGACAAAAAAACTCAATTTAAACAAAAATCATTATTAATGGAATTAATTTGCAAAGGGTATGCATATTTATAAATTATGCATTCTTGTAAATGTAAAAGTTAACATGGCCATGCATATCAGGTTTTTTTTTGATATTGTTGGAAATATGGTAATAAACGAACTAACTAAACACATTAGGTTTAATAAACTAACAAGGCAGGAGATGAAAAGTTAATGGACAGACTCGCAATTGAAATTAAAAACATATTCGATTCTATGAATAGTAAAAATGCACACATTTTTATCCTTTAGTTTTTGTTTCAAATAAACTTGTTACCTTAAAGGTAGTAAAATAACTGTTATATTATTGTGCCATAAAAAAAATGTCAAAGGGAATTTTTCTAAAAAATGTGGCTAAATGTGTTCTCAATTCCTATAAAGATTTATAACATTATATTTAATATATTACAATAATTGCAAATGCTTTCAGCACAACTCTAACAGAGTCATTATCCAGAAACATATTTAAGAGGCAGCCAGAAAAAAAAAATTATTAACATCTAAACAGATTATATGAAAACAAAGAAGGAGCAAACACAACTGATACATAATACAACATGCTAAATAAAAATGTTATTTACACCCAATATATTTCAAACCTCATTCTCAGAAGCCCTTTGAAGTGCTTTTACGCTATACGAAAAATATGATGCACAATAAACAATAAGATACAGATTAATTTTCACTGAAGGAAAAATTCTTTTAAACTAAACAGATTTGAAATGCTGCAGAGTCTTCTCATAGAAAAGGGATTCTAATGCCTCTGTTTCATTCAACATGAAAAATATGATCCACACATTCTCACAAAAAGATAATACCCAACATATTAATAGCTTCACTATAAAATATGCTTTTCACAGTGAGAACAATAAAATAGATATTTTTAATACCTCTAATAAAATAGGACATATAGGATAAAAAAATAGTTCCAGCCATGTAGTGCAAAATATACACAGATTTTAAATACTGAAGGGTTTCCTTCTGGGAGAAAAGAAATTCTTACACCTCCGTGCTTTTGAAGTACAGGAAGGAGCTTTCTTTATTTACATAACTAATTAATATATTTGCATCATTTTATTCAGTGAAATATGGTCTATTGAACCTAGTCACTATGCTTAACTTCTAGAATTTAGTTCAAAAATAAAATTGTAACAAAGTTTCAATGAAAAAAATTAAAATAATTATTTAATATCTTTCATTATTAATTTTACAAAGGTTGATATAGATAAAAGTGAAATTTCTTAAAGGGCAATTTCCCGAAATAAACCATAGGATAGTTATCATTTATAAGGAACCATGAAGCAAAGTTTGCTAACATGTGTTAGCAAGGATGGATTCTGATTTGCATAGGTCATAATACAAACAGATGAATCAAATACTGTATTATCATGGTCATTGATAACACACATCTAATACATAAATATCATACTTCATGATCATTATTGAAAAAATTTACATATCAAAAAAATAATATCGCGATTATACATAACGTTAATTATTGAACAAGATTAATTTCATATCGATAATGAAAATATGGACTAATGCAAAAAAATATTTAAATTGGAAAAATACTGAGATACATAATTATATATCTACATTTACAACAATAAATTATGCGATATTAAAACTAGTCACTTATCGGGTAATAGAAACCAAAGTTAGAGTTGGCGATCATTCGGAAGGACAGTCGCCAACACACGGTCTAATCTCATTACTAATTCATAAATATATAAATTAAATCACTAGATTAGAAGCATTTGAACTTTAATAGCGCAGGCGGCGATGACATAACTATTACGCTTTTTCAAGGTCTCCCGTTTAAAGTGAGCAAGGATAATAGAAAGTGAACATCCATTCATTTTAAAACCAGGAACTAGGAATAGAAATTTCTGTTTCGGGTCACCGTGTGAATAAAAAAAGGGGTCGAGTGTATAACGCGAGGAATGACGCCACTGTCTACTCCTCCAATCAACGTTCGTTGACACATTCCCGAAAGGCATCTTTAAGCATGCCGACGGTCTAAGAATTTCCATATCCCCAATTCTAACGAGGAAAATTAACGACAAAATATCAAATGATTCAGAAAGCATTAGATTTATTTAATTTTTGTTTTCAATAGAAATAATTTCAGCTCAGTTTCGTAGTTTCTTTATCATCTTATTATACATAAATCACCACCAAGATATGAAATGCAAACAGTAAATAATTTCTATACTTTGTTGCAAGCATAGATATAAAGGTATATTATTGCCTGGTTGCAAGTTAAAAGACCATTGCGGTATGGGAATTAAGTAATCATCAGCGACAGCATTTAGTTTCGTTATATTTCATTATCAAATTATACAAATATGCTTTCAAAACAATATAAAAGCTTTTAAAAGTTAAACATGTCGGACAGAAATTTAACTCGAGCTATCCTTTAAGATATATATCGTAGAATTATGAAGAAAATTTTTTTTTTTAATACTTTTACAGTCTTCCTGGAATCCTAGACTTCGCGACATAATTCGATAAACAAGAACCACTTGTTGATTGGACCACTAAGAATGGTGCGTCGTATGCTGATATGCACTTAACAAATCTAATGCTAAATAGAGAATTTTTATTTTTGTTTCTTTGTCGAAAAAAATCGTCTGCAAGGAACAATATTTATTTTTCTTTTATCAGTTTCTTAAAATGCGAACAGAAGGACGTGCATTTGTTACAATTTTTAGATAGCATTTTTATAAATTCTTATTACTTGTTTATTGTTATTAATAAGAAAGCGAGCAAAAAAAAAAAGAGGCCGTGCAACGTTGGTTCAAGAGTTGATATGCATTCGCGCTTGGAGCTTTGTTTTAATTTGGCGTATACTGGATGCAAACAGCCTCTCTCCAGAGGAATAATTGTTTTTTCTTAACTTGCACCAGAGTATAGTCATTAAACTGACTGCCTGGTGGCTTCTTACTATATATAAATTATTTATATATATAATAACTATATATAATAACATTCTTACCATACATAAATTACCGCCAAGGTACTCTATAGAATTTAGAGCCACTGAATGCTTGACGTTTTTAAACTAAGTATGAAATCGGAGAATATATGTTTAGGTTCAAATATAGCGTAAGCATATTTTTGGCGATTTCGATTCCCCCTAATAGCAAAAATAGGCAAATCACAAGCTCCCTTCCATACATAAGTAAGAAAGTTGCAATACTCACCCCTCTCTTTTTATCGCTTTAACATTGAATTTTATCGTTGTAAAATAATTTTAATATTAAATTCAAATAAAATATGCACATTAGTTCAAAAACATATTTTTTCATTCATTTTATAAAATTTTGAGTAGAATATTTTTTAGGAATCTTGTTTTCCATCTGTAGTCAAAATATCTCAAACAAATTTTTCAATTTTTTTTTCTTTCCCATTTTAAAATTTTCTTCTTTTTTTTTTTGGAAATAAGCGGATTTTAATGTTTTACATAAACAGGTCTGCCAACTTTCTACGCGCTTTGGAATAATTTCTTCTAGTGGTAGCTATGTTTATGCTTTAATGCATAATTCTTTGTTTCGTAAATATAATTTAAAATTATTTTCTACACTATTACATGCTAATAATTCAAAAGTTTATAAAAAACGTCACTTTGCTTCAGCTGTCTCATATTACAGCCTCTAAATTGTTTGCAAAATAACCTGAACTTTTGAAAGCTTTAGTACTTGATTGTCCACCATTCTATAAAATATTTAAACAAAAAGCCACTCCCTTTCCCTTGTCAGCAAAAATCTTGAGCTTACATAACATTCGAACAGTCCCAACACCATATGGTATTCTATGGAATAACAAAGGCTCTTTCGAATTATTACAAATTAGATACTTCGTCAAGTGAGTTTTTCATTAGTCATTAAAAAAAAAATGATAGAAAGGGCTGATTTTAAAATAGAGCTTGTTTCTATTACCCAATCACCTAGACAAAAAAAAGTCCTGTCTTTGCATTAGCAATACAATATGAGTTTCAGGGCACTGTATTTGAGGAGAAGCTTTCAAAGAACTGTAGTTTTAACATTGTAAATCCGTAATTAAAATACGTAATCGACTGTTTTAAAAAGGTTTTTTTTTTTAAAAAAAGGCCCATTTTTAGAATTCTAAATATATTGTGATGAAAGATCTGTAAAGTAATAAAATAATGTGGTCATAACGACTCTAGATACATTTTTAAATGCAAGCATTCAGTAATAAAGAAAAAGAATATTTTAACATAAAGAGCTTTTTAAAAAAATGAAAGTGACTACTATAATGACTTATATTTGTTTTAAAATGCATTGCGCACGCACTCTTAAATAATACACTAACAATTTATGCACGATAGATTTCATTAATTTTAAACTTTTCTTTTATTGTTGCTGTTAACAACGAAAAAATGGTAACGATAGCCTCGCCTCCAATTATCAATAAATTTA